TATTTAATGAAGAGGGAATTCAGAAAACTTCTTCTGAGTTTTTTACATTCCTAGCATTGGAACACTTGGTCTATGCTGACCTATCTCTATACTCTAACTCAAAGCTTCAGCATGCGTATTTGACATAAAGTAAGTGAAACTAAGTGTTACAACCAACATGGTTCACATATCCAAACAATGGATTCCTTCATGCATAGCAAAACATTCATAAGCATCACTCATGTCAATCAAGAAAACATCATACATTTCAACACATTCATACATAAGCCAACTGAGCTTCGAAGGGGTGTCAATATGCATTTTTCCATTCGACACTTGCTACAATGTGCCTCAGCAACTTGCCCTTATTTTCACCAACTAAGTGATGAAGGAACTCACATTCGTATCACCAACTAGGTGGTGAAAGATACAACTAGTACTTTAATAAACATTTTTGCCTCGGCAACTCATCACTCTTCTTACCAACTAGGTGATGAAGGAACTCACCTTCCTATCACCAACTAGGTGGTGAAAGATACAACTAGTACTTTAATAAACATTTTTGCCTCGGTAACTCACTACTCTTCTTACCAACTAGGTGATGAAGGAACTCATCTTCGTATCACCAACCAGGTGGTGGAAGATACAACTAGTACTTTAATAAACATTTTTGCTTCGGCAACTCACCACTCTTCTCACCAAATGGATGATGAAAGAACTTACCTTCTTTTCACCAACTAGGGAAGAACAGTACATTCTACACCTGTGGATTATTAGCATTCATAAGCAGTCAAAAATTTTCAAGTCGACGTGGCACAAAAATTGGACGCATAAGTCAAACCCCCAATTTTGTAAAAATTACTTGATTTTTGCCTAAATTCGTTGAGTATGCTATAGTTATGATTGCATAGTCCTAAAACATTTTAATGGTAACGCAACTGATGAACAATATCAAGCCTCCAACCGTGCAGATTAGGGGACAACCTATGAACCAAAATTCTGGTTGCTGTTTTTCTTAGAGATGGTAAAATAATTGGTATGGTGGGGAAATGATGACTATCCGGTGTTTTTGGTGGCATGTAAAACTAGTTTTTTCATCAGAACTATACATTCATGATTTTTGTAATTCCATAAAGTCTAAAAACAACATCAATCACCCTTGGTCAACATGTGCTTCATCAACTGTAACAAATAAGTTCTGGAAAATTAGGCATATACTAAATAGCAAAATAAGCTCTAGTAAGCTTAGGATTCATGTTTGAATCAATAGATCATAAAAAATAAAAAAAATCGTCATAATGCCTAAATTTAAGTCTTAAAACAAGTCTTCATAATGCCTAACAAAGGGGGTCATTATGAAGACTTGAAATCATAAAGGGGGTCGAACACTTGTTAGTTTTTTTTTGTTTTTTTTATTGGGTTTAGTTTTTTAATTTTTTAGTTTTTTTTTTATATTTTTTAAGTTTTATGTGAGCTAGATTGACACATGGTGTCCAATCATGGTTCACGTGAGCACCACATCTTTAATTAATGGAGGTTATGACATTAAACTTAACGGATGTATGAAAGTATTCTAAAATTATGACTTTACGTACCAGACTGGGACGAAAAAAACTTCATGTATGAAATATTGAAAACCAAGAAACTTTAGAGTAGTAATCTAAGATTAATGCTTAATACTTTTACTCTTTCCTTCTATATCGTTACCGCTTTGTATCACTTCTCCATCCCTTTATCTTTTTTTCCCTTGGTAGTCATCCATGGATTGTTCTTCTATGTCACTATACTAGATAAAAATCACATTCCAAACAAGTACCAACCTATTGAAAATGTCACAACCATTAAGCCAAGTTAAAAATTTGTTAAATGAACTAGATTACTTTGTCACCAAAATCAATAGAAAGTCATGAAATTATAGCCTTCACAAACTAATGGTCATCACCACCCCCATCATGCCATCACCTCCAAATCAACGCAAAACCACAAACTCCACCTAACAACTCAAGACGCCAACATCAAGAAGAAGGTTATGGAGGTTGCTAAAAATGGTATGGACAACCATGATGTAGCCACTACCATCTTCACCATCACAAAGAAGTGTTGGAAAATATTAGTATTTTATGTTTATTTGATTATTTGGGTTTGGTTGTTAGTTTAGTAGGGCCTAGCCCATCCGAATTAGGGTTTCTAGGTTTTGTTCTTTATAAATATAGCTTATAGTTTAGTATGAATAATAAGTCACGATGTAGTCTCTTGGAGTTTTGTAGTCGTTTCGGCATTTTTGTTTGTTTAATAAATTTTTTATTATTTTGTAATATTGTTCGTCGAGCACTCTGATATTCAACTTGGTATCAGAGCAGATTTGAGTTTGATCATTTGGGATTTATTCTGCTCTTGATTGGTGTCAATTTGTTTGTATCAGTTTTGTTTGTCAGTTTACTAGGTATCAGTTTCGTCCGTTGTCTTCTGCTGTTTGTTTTTTTTTTCTGCTTTAGATTCATCTTAAAAATTGTCGTTGTTCATTGTGGTCAAAATGTGTTTGCTTGTTCTTCGTGCAAAGCACCCGTAGTCGAATTTTTTCTTGTTGCCACCACCGCACTGTAATCTGCCCAGACAACCTAACCCGTTTGCTTCTTGAACCATGAACCCGCACCGCTTGTGACCCACTCACACTAGCATGTGCACGAACCATCTGCTACAATCCCTTCTGCACCAGAGACAAGGTCCCATCAAATCCACCTCACGACATCACTACCGTCCCTTGCGATCTAACTTGCATCACCACCTTGATCTGAATCTACACCTGCTGTCTGGAACCTGAACCCGTATCTGCATTGCAATCGGGGTCACCCCTGCAGTAAGCACTTGCTCTTGTTTTTCACAAGTTAAAGAAAGTCCCAGGAGAATTGAAAAAGTAACGAAGGAAAAGAAAATTGAAAGAGAAAAAAAAAAAGTTTTGCTTGCAGAGGAGAAAACCCCCAGCAAATAAAAAAAAAAGGACAAAGAATAGGAAAAGTGAATTTGTTTACCCGTGAGAGGGATTGTTTTGTTGGGCCAATTGTTGCCCACGGAAGAGTTTTGTTGGACTAACGATCACTCAAGTGTTTGTAATGGTGACCACTTGAGTGACATTGTGAACATGGTAAATTTGATTTTTTGCTTGTTTGCTTAGGTTGTTTGGAAGCTCACATTTGGCATTGGCATGAAATCTTGCACTGGCATTGACATTGGTATTTGGAATCTTGCACTTGCACCGATGAAATTTCATATTAAAATTGGCATCAAAAATTAGCATAATGGAGCTTGCATCCACATCTGCTTGTTGGCAAATTTATATCATGTACCGCCATGAGTATGACGAAGGTGTTAGAAAATATTAGTATTTTATGTTTATTTGATTATTTGGGTTTGATTGTTAGTTTAGTGGGACCTACCCCATTCGAATTACGGTTTCTAGGTTTTGCTCTCTATAAATATAGCTTATAGTTTAGTATGAATAATAAGTCACGATGTAACCTTTTGAAGTTTTGTAGCCGTTTCGGCATTCTTGTTTGTTTAATAAAATTTTTATTATTTTGTAATCTTGTTCGTCGCACACTCTGATATTCAACTAGAAGAACTGAAAATTTTACAAGTTGAGAATCGGTGAATGAAGAAATCACATGATAGAAAAAAATAAGCTCCTTTAAATCCTATCTGAATTTTTAACCCTGTTCTTTGTTAAGAGATTGTCCTCCTAATATAATTTCATATCATTGAATTTTTTTTTTTCATAATAAATAATCTATGTTTGAAATTTTAGATATTGAGGTAACTAGTAAAAAAAAAAAAGAAGTTAAACTTATGTTATCATCTAATATATGGTTAAGATGGGTAATATGACAAACACATTTGTGACAAGTTTCAAAGTAAAATTTCAATTATTTAAGATATAATATGAGGATATATAATCAAAGTTGGGCAAGTTGTTTGACATTAATGGGACATGAAATTCAAGAGTGGAAGCATAAGCCTTGGTTGCTATTTGAACATTCAACGCTTCCGTTGGATGCAACCCATCAAAGAAAACAATTGTCGTCCTGTTTCTGTTCTCACGTGTTTCTCCACCTCTTTTACACAATACTCCATTTCCACCTGCATTTGTTAATTTGTTATTGCACCAGAGATTATATATATATATCGACAGAGAAGCCTAGAAGAAGGTCATGAAATGATGAATGAAATGAACCTTGAATTTGAGATATCACTTTGCAACAGGGGTTGCTCGTGTCTTCAAAGCCTGTTGTAATAAAGGCACCAAAAAACATAAGTCATAACATTTCATTGTCTTTGTTATAAGGCGTTCGACAATGGTTTAGGTGAGTTTGAATCCTATACATAAGAATTAGACATCTTGAGTTTGATTCGTATGACATTATTGTTATGTGACTAGGTAAATGTGAGTTCTATCTATTAATATTCACCCACATTTGTTTTAGTTTGGTTATTTTTTGGACCGTTTGATGACCATTTTGTTGCCAGTTTTTAATATATTAACTCAAGAATTGGAATCACTCTCATATAATTTAATTTTCCGGTCATTTTTAAGATCGAGTTTCTAATTTCATATCTCTAGAGGATGATAGTTTCTAATTTCAAAAAGATTCAAAAGAATGATTCATTTAAGGAGCCTTACCCTTCACATAATTCTTCCTTAACCACCTGCATGCTTCCCTCATAGCAAAGCGGCTACATCATGTCACGCATGGTTAGAGATACGGGCTTCTTTTACAAAAGAAAAGCACCAAGTAATCAGCCGCAGAGCGTTTCACATTAATCCCTGAGAAGAAAAATACTATGCAAACAAACGAACGATGGATAAAATACTATGCAAATAAGAATACCGAACTGCTTATCTAATCTGTAAACAAAAGAAAATAATGCACTAATCAAAACGGAACCTTCTGTAGGTCAATTATATGACAACTAAATTATAAAATCTCTGCATCTGTTAAAGCACGGCGTGAAGACTATCTTGACTATGAATCTTCAATGAACTTGATATATTAAACAATTGACCCAAGTCTAATAGCAAGCTCTACTTTAAAGCATCATATAATATCATTTATAAACAATTTTTACACGATAACATAACAAAAATATATTGTCTTAATTAATGTAAGACAATGACTTCCTAGTTTCACTGTATTGAATTGGATAAATAGAACTGGAATACAAGAAGAAAACATATGTGTGGAAATGAGATTCAATTTGGGCCGGACTGTATAAGGGATGCAGTTGCCTTCTCCGTATTCCTCCCTGATGTTAGAGGCGATACTCCCGAAATTTGGAACGATGAAAATGAGGAGGGAGCTGGGGCTGAGTCTGCGGCAGTGGATAAAGGGCTGATATTACCGCTCACAGTCATGCTGGTTCCACTGGCAGACCCTTCGATGACAGCCCTTGGGTCTGGGGGGTTTTCAATTTCTGTAATTCCTTCCAGCATCTGCACAACCTTTCCCATCATTGGCCTGTGAGATGGTTGTTCCTGTATGCACCAGAAGGTTACCTGAATTGCTCTCTTCACTTGATCCATATCAACATCTTGGTCGACTAACCTTCTATCGACAATTCCCTTGATGTTACCCTTCTCAAATTCCTCAAAAGCCCATAAGGACAACTTCTTCCTATTTGTCGCCTCAGAAACTTCAAAATTCCTTCTCCCACTCACTATCTCTAGCAAAACCATACCGTAACTGTAAACATCAGATTTGGAAGTTATTGGAAGATTTGCTAGCCATTCTGGTGCCAAATACCCTCTAGTTCCTCTAACACTTGTCAAGGTTCGATACCTATGGTCCTTTGGATTAACGAGCTTTGCGAGGCCAAAATCTGACACTTTGGCATTGTAATTCTCATCTAACAGAATGTTCTCCGGTTTTATATCACAATGCACAATGCAGTCTCGGCACTCCTCATGAAGGTATGTGATCCCCCCTTGCAGTGCCGAGGGCAACGTTGAACCGAGACTCCCAATTCAACAACTTTCCTGATTGCTCTTCTGTTGCAAAAAGGAAACTATCAAGGGACCCATTTTTCATGAACTCATATACCAGAAGCCTATGGCGCCCCTCAGAGCAAAACCAATCAGCCTCACCAGATTCAAATGGTGTGTGCTACTAATTGTTGCAACCTCCATCCTGAACTGTTTCTCCCCTTGCTCAATCCCCTCAAGTTGCTTAACTGCAACAACAGTTCTATTAGCAAGAATGCCTTTATAAACAGTCCCAAATCCTCCTGCCCCAAGCTTCTCCTTGAATCCCTTCGTTGAGCGTTGGAGCTCCTTATACGAGAACTGAACCGGTGCACCAGAAGCATACTCAAGAAGCGCATATTGAGCAGACAATCCACCAAAGCTGCGACTGTTTCTGCAAAACCACCACCACAAACCACCTTCAAATGCCATCAAACCAAAGAGGGTGGCAATAACTACAACAACCACTATCCAAGCACGCAACTTCCAATCTTTTTTGTTGCCAGCAGTCCCCAGTGATGATGATGGATTTGGAACCACTGGTCCACATACCTTGATATATGAACTACTGGACATAGCTGGACTGTGATACCCGCTCAGAAAACCTGGTGTCTTGGAGTAACATAGCCCGGTGCCATCAGACAAAGACGTTGAAGCATCACAAGCACTACTTCCAAGACAATTCAACCTGCAAGCCGATATTCCCGCAAAGAAAATCTGCGACTCTGTCTCAGGAGGGTACGTCAAGAACCGAGTATGTTCCAAGTCCAACATAGTCACACTCTGAGGACAATCCTTAATCTCCATCTTCCTCTTACACCCTTTCCTGCTATCCTTGGGATCAACAAGCTCAAAATTAAGAGACATACATCCGCATACCGGATCAGAATCGTTATAACTACAAACTCCCATGTCCCCACAATACCCGAAAACCTCACACTGATCAGTAACAGCTGCCCATCTCTCTGTTACAGTCCCACTACCTCTAGTAGAGCTATAAATCCTCAGATTCCCATCACTCCCCAACTTCAAAAACCGCAAAATATCACCCGCTTCGGCATAATCACTACTATAAGCAACAATAGCATCAGTGGACAATTGTGGATCAGAAATTGACAGAATACCAATTGACCGCAATCCTAGAGTAGGCGAACTCAAATTCGTATTAACAGAAGAATTCAATCCCTGATTCCAATACACATTAATATCATTCCACAAAAGTGTAAGGTTCCCGTTTTTCACAAGCTTAAACGAGTACAACCCAGATCGCAAAACCTTACTCACAGTGAAGTTCTGCCCGGGGACGATCGAATCAGTGGGGTTGTCGAAGCTGGACCAGACCGTAACAGTGCCGTTTCGGAGTACCAAGTTGCCCGAATCGTCAATCTCAGCCGAAGAGACGCCGCGGCTGGTGGTGTTGGAGTCCCAGAGAGTGGCACCGGAGCCGTTGACGAGGCGAAGGGTGCCGGATTGGAGGAACTGGAGGGTTCCACCGGAGTCAACTACTTTTCCTGCACCAGTGGACCAGACGGGGACGCCGCCGGAGTAGGAGATGGCGGCGACGTAAGAAGGCGGTGAAGTGGGGGGGTCGGAGGAGATGAAGCCGAGGGAGAAGGTGTCGTTTGGGGAGGACCAGGCGGTGTTTGGGTTGGCGGCGGAGAGAGATGAGCCTGGTGAGATTGTAGTGGCGGCGGAAGCGGCGGAAACGGCGGCGGAGAGGAGAAAGGCGATCAAGAGAAGGTGTGAAAGACTGATGTGGGTTTGGAGCGCCATTTTTAGGTGAGCCTTGGATTTTGGGTATCAGTTCATTGGTGGGTGGGTGGGTAGGGGAGAAAGTTGGGTGTATTTAAGGAGGGAGGAGGAGGGAGGAGCGAGTGAGGTGAGGATGGAAAGGAAGACTCTGACTAACAAATTTGGGGGGAGGACGGCGTTTGACTAATGCGAGCTTAGATCTGCTGCTAAACGCCGTTAACATATATAAAAATATGAGGAAAACTCAAATTAGGTATTTAGATTTTCAAATATTTTTATTGACCAAAAAGATTTAGTTTTGTTAGTATTATGTCTCATCAAACTATAAAGCATTGATTTATTTGTTGGAAGTTCATTATTTTTCTCAAAGATTAACCTAAAGCAAATGGAAATGATCAACCGACAACAATACACTGCGTAAAATAATATTACCGAACTTTGCTTCCAAGTTCATCAATATTAAGTGGCACTAGATCTTTAGAAATGTTAACTTTGTAGCTAATGCGTTAGCTCGTCAATGCCTCATTGTTTTTGCTAGTCATATTTAAGAATAGCGTCTCCTAAATCTTATTGAAAACTTTTGAATAAAAAAAGTAAATTATTGAAAATCACTAGTACTCTTTTGTGATTTTTTAAATGCAACTCCAACATTAACCATAACACTTTAAAATACCTACTGTGCATCTTAAATTTTTTATATTTATAAAAAGTAAGATAGTGTGAAGGCCAGGCGATGAGATTTTTATATTAGTAATAACAATTTTCAAAATAAATACCAAATCATTATTAAATTCCTAGCTTTTGGTTGTTGTGTTTTCCAGCCATTAATTCTTTTTTATTTAGGGAAGGTACTTTTTCAAGAATTGAACACGTGGGTTTGAGAAGAAAAAGTCCGGCCTCTAATGTGCGTTAACGGCGTTAGTCAAACAACAGGACGGAAGAAAGCGGTGACCTGACAAGACTTCAACATCTGACAGCGGTCGGATCTCTGTTTTCTCGGACTTGTCTCATTTTTTTATTTTTGTCGTTTTTCTTTTTCTTTGGGGGCCCAGTTGACCAATAAATCCTCTGCCTCGAAGCTAACCTGTCAATTTCAGGCTGCGCGTATCATTTGCGTTAGAGAAAAGGACATCATACTAACTAATGTTCTATTTTTTTTTAGGAAACTTTAATAAAAAAATTTTATGTACGGTTCACTTTAAAGAAAAATTATATTTTTATATTAAAAAATCAATTCTGGTACTATTCATTTTACCCTTTATTTTTTCTTTATCGTTAAAACTCAAAGTTTTCAAACCCTTTTCATTAGTTTTCCATTTTTTTGATTAACGTAACGCTCATCTTTGACTTCTTACTTTACTTACAATTTACAAACTTAATAAAAAAACTCGACCACAAATTTTATGCTTATGCTCTTACACGTTTTGTAGTTTTCACATTATTGCCCATTTGTTGAGTTTTGGTTAAAATGAGTGGTTACTGTTTTTCCTTATAATTAGAGTTTTGATTGGACCATCCTAATACTATATACGGTTTTTAAATTTTAATTTATTTTCTCCTAAACTTGTTTAATCTTTTAACAATCCAACGGTCAATGTGAATTTTTATTAAGTGCAATAATAATACAAACATTTTGTTTTATTTTCCATTTCTATTTAATACTTGCGTTAATCTCAATTTACTACCATAAAGTTGACATTTCATATATCAAGTTTTTTCATTCCTGTAAAGTATCGAAAGTCATAATTTTGAGAAATTTTCATACATTCGTTAAGTTTTCTATCAAAACCTTCGTTAACTGATGACGTGGTGCGTACGTGTTAATCTAGCCCACATGAATTTTCTTTTTAAAGTTTAAAAAATTAAACCTCCTCCCTCGACTCCTCCTCTCTCTTCCACTCTCCTTTGTCCTCTGTCCCCTTGATAATTTCTCTGTATTTCCTTCTACCTCACCCTCAATCTCTCTCTTTCCTCTCTCGGTTGGCAAAAGAGATACAAAAAGGTACGGTTTGCTCCAAGCACAAAAAGGTACACTGTGAGCTGCTCACGAGCAAGCTCGAACAAAAAAATTTAGAGCTAAATCCAGTAGTGCAAGATCATAAAATAAAAACCCAAAAAAACATATAAAATGAGCAAAATAAAGTTATAAATATATTTTAAAAACCCCATTTTCAGATGCTTCTGTGTGTTCTCCATAAACCCTTTACATCTGGTCATTCTCTATCTCATGGCTTTTATTTAACAGTTTATTTTTTTAAATTTATGGGTTTTTCTTTTGGGTTTGGTGTCGCATGTAGAGTTAAATTTATCTGATATTTTATGGGTTTTATTATTTTTAGTGATTTAGGTTGAGGAGTTTATGCATTTTCCAAGAAACTGAGCCTCCAGCCAATTTTGAAAGCTCGAATTTGGTTGAGAATTGAGAGTAGATATTGAAATTTTGATTTTTTGAAGATAAGAATCATGGTTTACATGGGCGCTGAGTCTTTAGTTAATGAAGATTTTGACGAAAAACTTTACGGATGTATGAAAGTGTCATTGAATTATGACTTTAGGTACCAGATTGGGATGAAAAAAAAAACTATGAAATGTTGAAAACCGAGAAACTTCAGATAGTAATCTGAGATTAACCCTTAATACTTTTACTCTTTCCTTTTATGTCGTTACCGCTTTGTCTCTCTCCTCCATCCTTTTTTCTCTTTTTCTTTGGTAGTCCACTACTACGAAACCATTTATTAGTGTCACTATGATAACCGACAAAAAACATATATTACTGTTAGATATTAAGCAAAATCCGACAGAAAATGGATGCAGTGGCAGATATACTAAGCGACAAAATTGTCAGCATTAGGAAATGAATTTTCTATCGGTTAAGGCCCTAAAACAAACAGAACTTGTGTCTGATATATGCGACAATAAATACTAAACTATTGTCGGATATTATCAATTAATGTCTTTCCTGACCGCCAGGAAATTAAAAATACCGTCGGATTCACATCATCTTCATGTCGGTCCTAACCAATAGAAAATTTTTTAAAAAGTAAAATCTACTATTTCCATCGGTCACAATCGACAAAAAAACATTAATAATTAAAAAAAAAATATGAACCATTCTGTTTGTTTTTTAATTTTACATAATGAATAAAAAAATTTAATGAGTGAATAAAATAAACAAAGTTTGTAACAAACATAATATGTATTCAAATATAAATTAACTTACAATAATGTCTTTAGACTCCGCCATAACACATAAAGTAGACATTAAATAGAAATTAACCTAAAATATGGTCATCTGAATCCACCATAATACATAACTAGACAAAAAACATTTGTCCGAAGTAGATAAAGTGTCAGACATAGCCGTAAAGGAAAACCAACAAACCATTCAATAGAACCCGAGCCTTTTGCCAAACCTCCTTGTGCTCTAGAGCCTTCTGCCGATCCTCCATGTGATCCAAAGCCTTCTACCAATACTCCATGTGCTCCCATATACCTCATCACATTCTCATCAAAACTACTCGACAGCAATCCGGAAAACAAACCCAGGGATAATCCACCATTGAAAACACCTGGAGAAATATGTCAGTTACAGGGATAAGCTATCTGAGGTCGATATACTGGCATTGGATATTGCGCCTGAAAAGGCATATGCTGCATGGGATATGCAGTGGCTGATTGGGGGCCGAATGCTGTTTGATGCCTGAGAGCTGAGTAGTGGCCGCTGCAGATGTTGTGGAATAAGCAACATCAATATTTGTTGTTGCTCCATCATAATCTGCTAGTTTCTCGAGCTCAAGCGTTACCGTCGCCAACTTTCTCGAGGCTTTTTCCTCCCTCATCCTCAATTAATTGTTCTCAACTACCACCTTAGCCAATGCACCCCTGGATGATTTCCTAGAAGACCTAACACTTGAAGAGCTTGTATATGACACCATCTTTGGTATCACCCCATGACTATAACCTCGAACCCTATTTCTAGTCTCATAACCCATCTGCTCAATATAAATATGTGTTCTAACCTCATAGGTGTCCTCTTCTCCATACTCGACAATTGACTGAATTTGACTCTCCATAGATGTCTTGCAATATAATATTTAAACAAACAATAAAAGATTATTACGAGTTGAAATATAGAAAAATAAATAAGATTCATAAAAACAGATTCATCAATCCAAACAGAAAAATAAACAAGGTTCATAAAAACATAGATTGTGTTTAAATAATGTGTTCTAACAAATGCAATACTATTGTTTAAATAATGTGTTAGAACATAGATTCATCAATCCAAATAGAAAGATGAATAAGAATTAAATACAAATAGTCAAAATCTGAATAGAGTTATAAATCATTTACCCCTCTCTGTTGTGATGATTCATCAATCCAAGAGTCATCTTTCCGGGTATGGGTAGCTCAAAAAAAAGAGATGGGATCCGGCTCCTTCCCATGCTTGTTCTTCTTTAAATATGTTAAAAGAGAACAACATATACACATTAACCCCACATTATGAATACAAAAATAAAAAAACACTACATATATTACAAATAAGCAACAGATAGAAGTTCCTCGCAAACCCGAGCAAACATTTTTGAACCAGTTGGATGGTTTATCGTTTTTAACTCTCGATTATACTTGTTTTTCTCTGCCACCTCATGAAAAGTAAATAAAAAAAAATAAAAAAATAAAAAAAAAACCTTATAAGACAAACATATTTCAATACCAAATATCAAATCATTAATTTTTTACCTTTGTTTTAGGATTATCCCAATACGCTAACATATCGGCCCACTGACCACCATCCACACCAGGGGGAGGTTCTAAGCGCTCATACTCTTGTCTTTTGGTGTAATACTCCGCTTTTAAACCATTACGGTATTCCTTGCATGCATGATCCGCAACATGGAGAGTCATGTTACGAATCAATGGCATTCTGTCACAGTCTTCATCAAGAAAAATGATATTCCCCTATATTCATAAAAACAAACATGTTAGTACAAATCCGAAATATAGTCTTGAAATATAGAAGTACAAAACGAAAATATATACTTTAATTCTTTCCCACAAAACCTCCTCATCATTTTCAAGAATATGTCTTGGATCCTTAACCTTCAAGGCTATCAATTTCGAAAATTAAGTGGCATTTT